AATTCTTTTAAAATGTGATCTTTTAACAGCCTTTTTATTAGATCCCATCAGTCTCTGCATAAACAGAACATGAGCTTGACATCCTCTTTTTCCAGGACATGTCCTACTTTTCATACTTGACAAAATGTCCGAGGGGAATTTCAAAATCGTCCGGGATTTTTGTCCACTACGATGCAGCAAGTAGTCGAATTAATTAAGTGGGAGGGACCTTTTTGTGATGCAGGGTCACTGTGACTCAGGCAGTAGGGCTTTGTTATACAGTTGATAGTTTCAGCTCCCATTTAGTCAGTCTTTGTTGTTGTGCCCTTGGTCATAAAACATCATCCACCTTTACCGGCTTTTGGTGAACACAAAATGTGGCAGCAATTGTATGGAACCCTCATTACATGGCAGCCTTGATTCTGTCAATCTGCCGCAGGGAAGCTATGACTACAATGTGATTTATCACCATCAGTGTGTGAATGAGTGAATAATTGTAGTAAAAAGTGCTTTGAAGTCTTCTAACTTGATAAAGCCCTATACAAGAAAAGGCCATTGAAAAATTGTAGTTTGGGAAATTGAGGTTTAAAATTACCTAAAAGAAGGAAAAAAAGGCAACACCAGTGTAGTTTTCCATGTAAGCCTACTATGTTGCACTAGAATCCCCCAGTGAACTTTGGTGGAACCATAAAACTGATTATTGTGTACATTTAAAAGAAACGTCATATTCATGCAGCCCAAGATTGAAGTAAAGGTGTATAAAGACCCATTGAAATGAATTAATGTCTTCACTCTATAATTTCTCACAGAAAAAGAATTTTTTATTCTTGGTTGAGCAACCCTTGAATGAAGTGTGTTTCAAAATCTGTACTTTATTCTATTTATCCATTCTTGCATTTATTTAGCTTTGGATATACTTATTGAGACCATTACTAAGTTCATGCTTTGAGGCAAGTTCTGATCAAGTTTTGATTATGTAGAGATATTATATAGATAGTTTTGATTGGAGAGATTTGAAAAAGAAAAGAGAAGTGAGCACATCTGGTTGAATGTTTTGTTTTTGTAATAAATTATATTATGATAAGAGGGATTCTTGTTATATTTCCTCAGGAAATGTGTTTAATGATCTGATTCACAAGATATTAGGGGTGGAATGGTTCACAAAATCCACTGTTCGGTTTGGTTCACGGTTTCGTGGTCACGGTTTTCGGTTGGGTTCGGTATATGTTGAATGTTAGCCTGACATGTTGGTCGTGTTGCTGTTAGCATAAACAAAACGTGTTGCACTTTTATCCACGACTTTCTTTCCGCCGTCATCGTAGGTCACTCTAAATGCAAAGTGGTTCCATACAGCAGACCTATAAAGTGCTGCTGGCGCGTCTTCTAACTCCTGTTCTTTCCCACTCGCCATACCCACACAATTCTCCAAAACAACTACGCTGCTTCGCTTCTTCTTCTTGGTTACTACTGGTGGTTGGCTTTGGTCGCAGTACCGCCACCTTCTGCTCTGGAGTGTAAACGCTTCGCCTATAAGAAAAAGGAGCAGCGCATGAACCGAACGCAACACATGCGAATCGAACCGAGACAGTCGAACCGAACGGTTCGGACTGTTTTCATAAACCTTTCCATCCCTACTAGATATGATAGTATATTTCTTACATGACTGTCATAGACATAAATCACAGGAAAGTTTCAGGATAGGCTGAGGTGTCAAGCATAAAAAACTTGTGATATCCTATAGGTAAAAACTAAGATTTCCTTTAAGCAGGGTGTTTGTACAAAGAGAAGTGTCAATAAAACTCATGCTACTAGATAGCTTACTAAATAAAATAATTTATCAGCAAATCGTTTTTTTTATCAAATTTAATATTTTAAGACACTTATATTTCAGGGCTTTCCCAACATCTTAAACAGAGGCGCTAACAAATGAGGACAGCATTCCCTTATCCTCTGAAAGAACTTTTATTCAGTATAATGAAAGCTTACTTTTATTCTAAATATCTTATTTTTATTAGTTGGAACTAGCTCAGTTCAGAAAACAGGGAGCCACTTTCACTTATGAATGATTTATTTGTAACAGGGGGACTTTAAAAGGCAATTCAAAGCCATAAATCATCATCATATATTACACCCGCCATGAGTTTTATAAATTACAGCACTGCTATAAACAAACACACACACACACATCAACCCCACACATCCACACAGTCACTAAGCATCCAAGCATAACTGAACCTTCACATGTGGAAACAGCACCTATTTGACCCCGGTTCTTTACGCACAGTTCTTATGAGCAATTTCTCAACGTTCACTGTAGAACCTATGCAGGGAATGAGCACCCACGTGTGTCCAGGACTGTCACACAGTGACTCTCTCAGCAAGTAATTGGCTTATTATTGGAGCACAGAAACCGCAGAGTCAACAGAGGATGAAACGGAGCAACCGATCAGGATAAATAAGTGGCGGAACAGCCAAATCGGCAAGTGGGGCATCAAAACACAGCAGAGATTTCCTCCCTCCCTCTCTATCTGCTCACTCCATCCTTCATTCACGCTCCTCCAGTGGGATGCCCTCCCCTTTTCCTTCATCATATTCCCCCCCTTTTCTCTCTCCCAAGCTCTCTTCCTTTGAAGATGCTTTGTTTTCTGACTTGCCTCTCTAATCTTCAGTACGGTGATCTAATAATGGCCGAGAGAGTGCATGTGAAAGCAAGTTCTGATGCTCTGAGCCTCGTGTGTGTCTACGTTTAAGCCTCCGGCACATGCCAATCTGCAAGCATGTGTGCGTTAGGATGTGATAGATGCATTCACATTGACACTCTCCAACACATTGCCCTGGGTGCTTATAGATGTCCTGCTGCGCCCTCCTAGTGCCTGTATGAGGTGGGCGGTGGGGGGTTACAGCCTTGGATGTGTGTGTGTGTGTGTGTGCGTCAACAAATGATGGCTGGTACAGTCGACACACACTGACAGTTGGATATGAACAAATCTCCTGAGGGACTGGAAGAAGGAGCAATATTTAGAACAAAGGCTTAATGGTAAACATAAAACAGATGCATGAAGCTTGAATTTATTGAACTTTACCTTCCCAAAAAAAGAGAAATATGAGATTTCAGGATCACATCTGTGATCCTGAACTCAATTAGCAAGCTCAACAGATTCTAAATGCAAAAATCTAAATGCAGATATTCTGTATAAATACCTGTGAGCCCTCCATAGAACAGATTAATTCATACTTCAATTAAACTACACACAAGTGGACTTTAATTACTTAAGGAATTTGGTTGCAGAAGAATCCATTTTGTGGTATCCTAATGAGTAAATAAAACTTAACACAAAACTACTGCTTCCCACGTTTGTGATACCGTAATTTTCGGACTATAAGCGGCGACTTTTTCCCCATTTTTCGACCTTGCGGCTTATATAACAATGCGGCTTATCTATGGACTTTTACAGCTAACGGACACTAGGTTAATACCTAAATCTATGTAATTTACAATCCACCATGTTGACGTCACATTTGCTTCACACACAAGTACGGTAGCCGTGCACGGGGGAATGCGGAGGTCCTCCGGAAGCAGACTTCTACCGCAAGTGGTACGAGACAGAACAACAGCGAGAAAGACGGACATTAAACATAAAAAAACTACGGCTTATAGTCCGGTGCGGCTTGTATATGTACAAATCATGCAATTTAGCTTATGCGGCTTATATTCAGGTGCGGCTAATAGTCCGAAAATTACGGTAGTTAAAAAGTAAAAAAAGTATGCTTAAAATCACTTATTGAAAACCTATTGAATCTATGTGAAACACAATGTCCACTTTCTGTATGTGAAATAATTAAGATTTTTAGTATTTGGTGCCCAGCTCATACTGAGAAGACCTGACCATTTAGGAAGACCATTTATTCAACCTTCATACATCAAGACAAATGCATTCATTAGGGCAAAAGATTTTTTTTTGAGAGAGAGAGAGAGATCTGGACCTGCCATGAGTTAGGATGAATGCAGATATGTCTACATGTTTTCCCTCCTCCCTTCTCTTAAAAGCATCTGAAGTAGCAGAGGCAGCTAGAGTTTATTTGGATAGTAAAAAAAAAAAATCTTGTAAAGCAAAGACCTAATTGAATTGCTTTGGATGGTAAGAGGGTCTCAATACCCTTTAACAGGTTTGAGGAAGGAGGCAGAGAAGGAGAGAAAGGGCAAAAGGAGGAGAGATAGCGAAAGTAACAGGGAACCACTATGGTGTTGGAAGGGGGGAGATGACAGGGAGGAGAATAATTGCGATGGACAGATAAGGAGGATGGGAGGGGGAAGAAACGAATGTACAAAAAGAGGGGGAGGGGTTAAGAACAATAAAAATATATCTCAGAACAGAGGACAAATAACAGTAAGCACATGGAGAAGAACTGTTTCTCCTATAAGCATGTGTGTCTTTCCTTTTTCTTGGGAGGGGGTAAAGGATACTAGTCCTCTTGATAATGACAATATGTGAGTAAGTGATCGGTCACTACTGTGACTGACTAATAGTCACTTTCTCATGAACAAAGATGGCCTCAGTTTTGACAAGTTCCTTCAGCATGTCGCATACTCCCCACATATCCTCTGGCATCCATTCAAACACCAGCATTTTCCCTCATTTAAAACAAACAATAAAAGCCATACATGCACACTGCATTTGGCTTACATACTCAGACACACCCACACTCGCCACTACAGCCTGTGGCATTAAGGCCATCCTGCCACATCTAATAAACTCTCAGAAAGGACTCAGTAGGACATGGCATGGTGTCCACTTTGCTTTGCTTAGCAGGCATCTGTCCAAAGCCAGATTTACAACGCGTCTGTTAGACGTCTTACAAAGCATAATCTGTGACTTCTTACGCCTCTTTCAATTTGCTGGATTTTGGTCTGACTACAATGAACCCCACTAGAGTTGCCAAAATGTAGAGTCAGAATAACCACTGGTGTACCATAAAAACCGTTTCGCTTGGGTTTGAGGTGGAAGATAACGACAGCTCACCAGGATTCTGTCTTCAGATTTGCCGCCTCTTGTCTCCTGCTTGATTGCCCGCACGAATTTAATGGGCTGTTTGTCCAGCACCTTCCTGATGCTCTCTAGGAAGAAATTGGAGAGGAAAAATGAACATTAATTACAAAGTAAAAATGAATATAAAACTTTATTACATTAGGAGATAAATACTCTAAGTTTTATAGCCTGTATAAATAAGGAAACCCTTTAATAATCAGTATTGAAAGAAGTCAACACTTTGTTTACCAAAATATGACTAATGTCTTATTGCACAATCCCTGAATCATTTATCAAATAGAGTAAGGATGGCGCACACTACTTTAACTACTGCTCTAGTGACAAGTACACATTTGATTTTAATGGGAAGAAATGTGGCAACCATTTTAATAAAGATCTAAAAATGATTCCTTAGATCATTTTAATTCCTGGGAAGTTTAGAATGATTCCCCTAGCTTGATGTTAGCTTACTTTATTCATTAAAAAAACAGTTTTCATGTATGTTTTGGATCATTGTCAGAAAGTCCAGCTGCATCAAAGTTTCAAACATCTCAACAGAACTGTCACTCCCTGGAAGAGAGGGGAGCCTGCTGTCAAACAGACACCATTGAACTTGATAAACATCCCCAGCTGCTGACATGAACAAGCTTATTGACTTTTAAACAGTTAATATGTGGGTGGAAGAGACCAAATATGTAACCATTGAAATAATGACAAGCGCAATGTTTCAAAGCGTTTAAGCACGACGATGGCAGCCTGCTGCCATCATTCCAAAAACTGGATATCTCAATAAAGAAAAAAAAATACTATAGCCAAGTTCTTTGATTTCCTTTTCACTTAATAAGAAGCTAATGATTAAAAGTGACCAATTATGTGTTGAATTGTGGCAATCAACCCAAACACACACAACAATGGTAAAGCAGGCTAACATTAAGCTTCTGAAATGATCCCCTCAAACCCTAAACAAATATAAAAAATATTAATAAAAAAAAGTTTTGATGCAAAAACTAAACTTGGTTTTATTTATAAATGCAAATTTGTATTTGTAAAATTGTTTCCACAGCTGTATGGAGTTGCTGTTGAACCAAATTGAAAAAAAAAATGGTTTAAATCAATAATCAGAAGCCCAAAATAAATTGCATATGCCGATGTGAATTGAAAGGAAACATACATATGAAAAAGCCATAATGTTAAATTTTCAACTGATTTAGAAGCTATGGAATAGCAAATAAGAACAGGGCTGCTCTATTGCAATAAAAAAAAATGTATTTGGAAGGAGTAGCAGTGTATTGCTTATAAAATATTTTGCTAAAGAAAATGCTGTTATTTTCAGTATTCTATCATCCCACTACTAAAGGTCAAAAGCAGTGACTAAAAAAAAATCGTATTTCCAATTCTGATAGCACCTTTTAGCTATCTGAATTCATACAAGCATAATTAATATAAATGCTACAGATAATTAGTATTTAATAAGGTAAATTTACTGAAATATAATCACAGCATTCTGAGTTTAGCATCTGCACTGATGCTGATTCAGCATATTGGATCTTCACTTCAAAATACGATGTTTGTAATGCAAAAGCAGAGAGCTTAAGTTAGCTCTGATCAAATGTTCTTATATGGGATGCTTTCTGCACTATACAGTAATTGTTTTACAAATGAGGGAAACAAGATGTGACAAAAGGAGCACTGCATAAGTCATTCCTAATTTTGGGCAAAACATGTTTACTGAGTAAAATGTATTGTATGTTATGTTTGAACCTTTGACCAAGTAGCTGTCAATCAGCACAACACACAGCAATATATATGAAGAAGTACTGATGACAGAGTAAATCATTTTTACTTGTTTTAGATGTTTTACATTTTACGGCCGGTGCTGAACATTGAAATAGTAAAACTTGTATTCAGGACACAGACAGACAATTTGTCAATCAGTGCCACTTTAGAAGCTTTGAGAAAGACGTTGTTTTATTGCATATATGGGTCAAAAACTAAGCAAGGTCTCTGATTTTGATTTGAGGTTGAGATGGTTTGTGTGATGAAAACTGACAGAGGAGTGCATAGTCAGAGACAGAAAAACTGCTGGAGAGAACATATTTTCAGAAAAGCCACATTCTTTTCTGGAAATAGGTTTGTTTTTTTCTTACTATTGTTTTTTTCTGGAACTAACAATGTTTCAGAGAGTGAAATGAGTTGGACGGTGAACTTTCATCCCAGCCTTAAGTCCTTTATAGCTTCTATTAGGTTTCGCACCATAGATGTTGCGGATTCAGCTCCATCCATCAAATAGTATTTTAACAAAGAGTTGAATTTTGCTGTATCCTAGGTGTGGACAGGAGAAACTGAAAACAGGAGTTATGTCTTTTTAAACAACTTTACTGTCTGGCCAGTTATATTTTGCAGAAATATGCTGCAAAGAGTTTCTTCCACCTGATCTCTGCAGCTTCTCTGAAATCACCATGGCCCTCTTAGCTGCTACTGGGATTAATGCTCCCTCTTCCTTCCTTTAGAGAACAAGTGGACGGCCATGTCTTGGTAGATACTGTACAAAAACAGTTTTTCAACAGATTCCCATGCTGCAGCTTAGCTTTTTCTGAGCTCATCTAAAGTAAATATGGGGCTCTTAACTGTTTTATTTACAGTGAGATAAAATACTTATATGCAGACTTCTGAAGGGTTCTGGCTGCCGCTGATTTAATTTAGGTTCACCAGGGTTGGGCTTAACAAAAACAGATATGACACTGTTCATTTTTTATTGTAAAGAAAACATCAAAAACTATATATGCTTTTACCTTCCCCTTTACATTTATGTTCCACTTTATGTGACACTACTTTACTACACATACTACTTTATGCATTGAAATCTAGAGATGTAATAGAGGGGGAAAATGTAAAAAAGTGCTTTTAAAAGGCACTGTAGAACCTCTGAGAGTTGCTCTGCATCAAACTGGTCAACCCTGCTATAACTCACAGAACTGCACTTAAGGTTTCCCCAATTTAAATTCTACATTCAGTATTCAGCATCATATAATATGCCATCACACAAACATAATTTCAGCCTAAATCCTCATACAGCAAGCAGGCACATATGCCAACAAGCAGTGAGATTCATTCGCAGCCCACATTTCAACTATGCCCACCACTGTAAATGTGCACTCATGGAACTTAGCAAAAGGAGATGAATCAAGTCATGCTGTGTCACGACACTCCATTGTGTCAAAGTCTCCAAAGCTCTCCCACCAGATTGCTATTCTCCCCGTCCACCAACAGCAGTGGAAGCTGGCTGTCACGCTTGATGGAGCAGCGGCAGATGCAGGAAGGATGGGGCAGGGATGGGGTGGGTATAGGGAGCTTGCGGGTGGATTGAAAGAGGGATCAGCAGAAGACAAACATGGAGTTATTGGCATTAGGCTGGGTAAGGCCTAATTACTTAAACCTTTTAACTTACAACGCAGCACCCTGTGGCCTGCCAGGGTGACCTAAGCATCTGCTCCCAAATTTGTAAAGAGGGACAGCAGGAGTAGGAAAGGGAAGAAACAAAAACAATCACTCTATAAGATTCCGATGCTAATATATTCACTGGCTTTTTGACAGCTTGGTGAACTTTGAAGGCTATCTAATACTGGCCATTAAAATCACAATGTATGCATATTATGTTCTTTATAATGCAATAAGTAATGATCATTGAATTTGTAAATGAACTTATCTTAGTACTAAATACTACCAGCATAATTAGATCTGAAAATGGTGGTCTGTGTAGGATATAAGGGTTTAATTATAAATAAAAATTCCAACTTTGTAAAAGTTCAAAGTAAAGCCTGTAACTGCAGATTTTTTTTAGTGATAGATCAAGTATAAAAGTCTAACATCCTAAAAACTTGGGTTATGCAACTCTGAAGCAGACGTTTATATTGGAAAAAATATCTAGCCTTAGCTATCAGGAAAAGGGATTCAGTTTTACCTCTTAGAGAAGAAAAAAGTTAAGATTAGATGAGCTTTATTGATCTCACAGCGGAGAAATCCACTGGTCACATATTGGCCTAATAATTAAAGAAGGTGCAAACAGGGAGGAAAAGGTGCATTAAGAATAAACAATATACGGTATATACAGTATATCAAGGTATATACAGTATATCAAGATAAATAGGATTAAGGTGCAAGTGTACATATATCACACACAATGAAAAACAAAATAAAAATAAGAAATAAAAAAAATAAAAATACAAGGGAGTAGCACAGAGATTTGAGGTGACATATGTACAATCCGGATGGCTTATATACAGGTGGATTGACTTTTACATTAAAGTGTAGTAGGTGAGGAGCAACAGTGAGGTAGTGACGGTGAGGGTTTACCCTGTTTAAATAGGGTAAAGTAAAAAAAAAAAAATGCTAATAAGCCTAATTCTGCAACCATTGCTAAAAGTAGCCCTCTAAGGCACTTCCTGATTGAAGAGGAATAAGCAACATTTCCATCTTTTATAATCTAGGTAACAGTTTATGCTTAACCAGCTCTTAAAAATGTGTTTAAAAATCTTAAAACATCATAAAAAAGTTGTTTTCTGATCATTAGTATGAACACAGAAGAATAAAAAAAAATGTCATTCTTCTTAATCAATGGATGCGGTACTGACTGACTGTACTTTAACTGTAGCTAGATATTAACAAAACTATATGATCATTTTGAATCATATGTTAATATTCTGCTGCTTACTGAATAAAAATAACACATTAAAGCAACAAGTAAATGAAATATTCAAATGAGTAAGAAATTTACTCATTTGGTTAAAAAAAAAATCTCTGAATTTTACAGTATGAGTAAAATGTATAGCCTTTTTAAACTTTGATTTATCTAACACATCCAATAGAAGCCCTGGCTTTATGCTTAATTATGCTGGCCTGCTGGAAAATCCCATTCTAACATATTTTAAAACCCTCTAACACATAAGTCAGCAACCTTTACCACAGTCTGTCAGACTGGATTGGGTCAAAAGATTTTCAATAAAAAACAACTTTTTTTTTTTAAATAAAGCATATTTTATTTCATGCATTATCTGCATATAATTTCAATTAAAAAAAAAACACTCACAAAAATGTCCCTTATTTATTTAATCATTTTTTTGATCACTCCAAAATTTTGAAAGCACCAGGATTTCTCGCTCTAGAGAAATTGTTAGTATAGGAGTGAACGGAAAAAAACAGCTTTTTGGACTGATAAAACTGGTGAGCTCTTACAGGGTTTTCCTCTATTAAGCTTGATTCATTTCCCCAACATTATCAATTGAACCCTGACATCTTCAATGCACCTCTCTGAAGAAAAGCATCATGCTGGTTTGATGGATCATGTCTCACCGTTGGATTGGTACGATCACAATGAACTTTAGTGTCGGATTTCCATCAGTGTTTTGAATTTAGGTCAAAAAGAAAAAAATATACATTCCCACAGTATGATGTTGCCACCCTCTGTCATGCATCTGACTGGTTAATGTTTTGTTTGGTCAGGCAGAGATGAGCATTTGGCTCACCAGGAGAAATAAAATGAAAAGTCATATTCTGTAGATGTTGAACTGATGTTCAGAGGCCTGGTGGCTGCACGTCTTAGGACAGAGTTTGCTTATTATAGAACGGTGTCAGACTTCAATTAGTTTATTTCTATTTGGGGAGGTGGAGATGTTCTATGCCATGTAAATAATTCAATGCTTATTCTCAGTTTTTGAGGAGGTGGACTTATGTATTTTGTTTTTTTCTTTTGGGTTGTTTACTTGTGTTTATTGTAAATGAACCAATTGAAATTGATTGTAATGGAACCATATTATTTTAAATGAACCAAATTGAACCAATAAAGAGAGTCCATGGGTCTGTCAAGCATCTTAATAGTGAATTTAATTCAGTTTGTGTCTATACTGACCTGAAAACCTTCACTGCATGTGATGTCTTGTACATGGCTTCTTGTATCAAACCTAACAGTGTTCTTGGAGCACTTCTCCCCTCCTCTCCACCTTGCCCAGCTCTAGCAGGTGTGTTAATGAACCAAATGCCTCCTGGTATTTAGACAGAAGGGGCTTGACAGGGCTGATCTGGTAACCAGCGGGACTTAACTCGCCGCATCAGGATAATCAACAGTGAGAGACACACCTTCTGTGACATCCCATCGCCCTAACATGTTGATGTTTGGACACACACACGCAACCAGCTCCCAGTCGCATCTTAACTCCTACGCGCGCACGCGCACAGAAAGAGAAAAGAAACTTAATGAATCCATAAAGCGCAACGAGGCGCTCACGCGCACTCAAGGCTTAAAAATAACTCCCGGATAAACGATAAACCTGACCTAATGCGCGCCTCCAGCAGATTGTTTTATATGGAAAAAAAAACACAGCCCAGAGCACTTATATACTAAGATCGATGAGATTACAGTTCATGCAACCGTTGCTGTTTATTTATTTATTTCTTGCTTGTTTTGCTCTGGGAGACATTTGCAGCGCTCGCCTGCGGTGTTAAACTCATTTTAAATCTAATTTAAAGAAAAGCGGCTCAGGAGAGAAGAACCAAGGACGACTCTTTAACCTGTCCTCTGCGCGTTTCTTCTAAAAGATGTCTAAAACCACCTTCTTCTTCTGGTAAACTTACCTGAGATTTCTCTGCTCACGCTGACGAAGCCGGCCGCTGAGTTCTCCTTTGAGGCCATGGTGCGCTGCGCTCCGTCCGCCCTTCCGGCCGGCAGCTTCTGTCCACCTCTCAAATGTCCGGTCGGACAGCGCTGCCCACTGCTCCCCACTCTTGGTTTCCCCTCTTATATATCCGTGGGCCCTGCAGGTGCTCTTTGGCGTGGCAAAAGTCCGAAAAGTGAGGTGGAGAGTGGTGCTGCGGTGCGCACTGGCGAGCTCCACTCCAACACTCAGGCAAAGAGCAGAGAGAGAGAGAGAGAGAGAGAGAGGGAGACAAGGGGGAGAGAAAGGGACACTGGGGGTGGGGATGGTGGGGGGAATGAAGGTTTTAGTTCATCTGGTTTAAAGCTGGTTTGTAATAGAAGGGAAGCATTTTACAGAGCCAGAAAGAAGCAGAATAGAGAGATGGAACTTGGATTCCTTTTAAACAACAGCATCTAAATCACAAAAATATTAATTTATTTATAAATAAATGACATTAAGCACTATTCATACCAGAGGCGTAGCCAGAACATTTTTTATAAGGGTGGCCAGGCAATAATAATGTAGACTGAGGGGGGGCCAATAGTGGATAGGCACCAAAACACAGTCAATCTACACTGTTCCAACAGGAAAATTAATGAGCGAAACATCCATATTTTTTAAATAAAGAGAAACTATATTTTCCCACAGCCTTTGCTAACAAATTGTCAAATATATTCAAACAACTGTGCTTTCTAAATAAAATGTATAGTGGATAAAATTCTTTCTGTTAGGGTTCCAGTTTGTGGGGGTTGTTTTTGTGTTCCTTTTTTTATGTCTCTGTGCATCCAACAGATGGTGCCATCATTTCTCTGTTGGCCTGGAGGGCCTCTTCCACGTTTCAACTACCCACACCTGCAGCTCGTTCATCATTACCATCTGAGGAGTATATGAGCAGCAGACTGTCACCATCTCCTTGCCAGAGTGTTTGCCAGTATTGGGTACTCTAGCCCCTCTGAGTTCTGCCTGTCCGCCCTCCAGCAAGTAATCTCCAAAGCTGAACAAGTCCCCCCCACAAACAGGAACCAAGGAGCAACCACAAACCTCTCCAGTGAGTCCTTATTTGGCTATTTTTCAGTATCTACCTGTTTTTCCAATGGACCTTGAACTCACCACTCTCATCTCCTCCTACAGTTTCCGCTTCCAGATCACCAGACCGCTGGATTTCGACCAAGCTGTGAAAACCATTGTCTCTCTTAGCTTCCCACTTTTCAATAAACTATTTAACTTTTTCCCAGCCTCTGAGTTTGTTTCTGCATGTGGGCTAAACATTTAAAACCCATAATGACACTTTCAGATTGTGGTTTTGGGCGAACATCACCATTGCCATTACTTACCTACTTTTATCAGTAATCATTCTGCATCAAAGTACAAATATCTACATACATTGATTATTAAGTTTTTATTAAAATAGTTATCTATGATTTCACTGAAGACTCCTACATGACTTTTCTCTTTATCCCATAAAACACAAAATCTATTTCTGCTTGAATTCTGTACGTATTACCTTTAATGTTAGTATATTGATGTGCATAATCAATCAGTGTTTTTGTGGTCAAGTAATTGTTAATTAAATTAAATTAAAATGTTTTGAATATTCAACTTGAGAGTATTACTGTTGCCACCATCTGTATTAGAGGGAAATAAGTGATAGCGGTGGCCAATGATTGGCTAAGGGTGGTCATGGCCACCCCCGGCCCCCCATCTAGCTACGCCCCCTGATTCAAATAATAAATAATATGTCGATATACTGTCCAGTATATTTAATCAGTACTTGGTCAGGGCTCCATTTGCATCAAATACCGCATCAACAGAACCACTTAATGGTTTTAAAGTAGCGCAGACTGCCTCAGTTTCAATGTTCTTCAGTTCCATCAGCTATTGTTCCTCTTGACAAAACTTTACTGATTATCTGGTCAACGCCAGGTGATACACATTAATGTATTTTGGAAATGAGGACTGGGTGCCAAGTATTAATGGAACATAAGGATTAAGTTTGGCATGAAGTGCTGTAGATTTTCCAGGTAAATGGATGCATTAGGTTCATACTTGACAAAACACAATAAACAACTTCAATTTAAAAGGCTCCCCTTTGACCCTGGCAGTGAACAGCTTCCATATTCTGACTTTCCACTTTTGGGACTATGGGACCTTCCTTTTCAAACAAATTCAAAATTGTAATTTTTCGCTAAACAAGATGTCTGGAAAACAAACGCTTCAGTCCCTTCTTTTCCTTTACAGAAGGAAGACTTTCTGACATCAGCAATTCAGCAGTGGCTTAAAACACAGAACATAGTAATTTCGGATCATGCCTTGAACTTATGTCTGAGAGGTGGCTGTTGAAACTCTGATTCAAGGCAAACTTCATAACTTAAACTGTAAGTATAATGTAAGTTTACTTAGAGTACTGTATACTGTAACTTAAACTATACCCAAAATTCTTAACTTGGACTTGCTTCATAATCTTCCAATGGCTGCTGTTATCCCTGTTCCCCTTTTTCCAGCCCACCTTTGTTCTCCCACTCAACCTTTCATTAAGAGGGTTAGTTCGTGAGCATTTATTTAGTAATGCCCTCCTGGTGGACGGTGTTGATGATGGTCTTCCTGATACTTAATTCATGATTATGTGGACCACAATAAAAAAAAAAAAATCTATAATTGATTTTTTTTTTTTACTTTTCTTCACTAGATTTCCAAAAGGTGTTGTCCAGAAACATACAAATGTAGAAAAATGCTTGCAATATCAAGGTGAAAACATAACACGAATTTCAGTTTAAAATCTAATTACTAAAATACATCATTGTCTTGTTTTTTGTGGTTGAAGTGGGATCAATGAAATTTCAGCATAGTAGCCACATGGTGCATTGAAACAGAATTTAATAACACAGCTGAAAAGAAAAACAAAATGACAGGAAGCACATGGAGCCTGAGCAGAATAAGTCAAACAATGAAAACCATGGTGCTTAAAAGCTGAGGTTCGTTCAGTTATATGAAAAGGGGAGTCTAACTTGGGGAATGTTGAACCGAGATAGAAATGTAACATAGAGTTAGATGAAAAACTATTTATAATCACAGATCACACACAGCAGCAGAATGAAACAATATATGGACAAATTAAAAGGGAAAATATCTTACATTATAAGAGGCAATTAGAGCACAACACCCAAGAAACTAATCAGAAAAAAATTTTACAATCATCTCAGAAATTATCAGAAAACAATGATAGGAAAACCAGAACGCAAACATCTTTGAACTGTGAAAGTTTGTGTTGATGCTGTAATCTTTAGGAATGCTTAGAGACCTGAATACAGAAACAAAGAAATCTAGTTAAAGTAAGCAAAAAGTTTGTTGAACAAAGAGATATTTTAACTGGTCTAAAGGTCCATGGAGGTAGACTGAGAGGTGAATAATGGAGTAGTAGCCACTGCTTACTATAGGGGAACCAAGGTCCAGTACTCCAGAGCTACTTCCCTGCAACTTTTGGATGCATCCTGCTCCAGCACACCTAAAACAAACCCTGAAATACCTCCATCAGCTTTCTTTGCAGAGGCATGTTAAAGGTCTGTTCTTTGGATTCAGGAAGCGCTCTTTCTCCATATTTTAGGGCAGTAACTCTTCAAGAATGGAGTTTGATACTGTACCTCCAGGCCAACAGCCAAGACACATCTTTACACTTTTGTAGATTTCTTATACATTTTTATCTAGGAAAGACACTGACTAAATACAAAATTAGGTTTTCATTAATAAATATTTTTAAATATGTTTATCCTTATGTGATAAAAAATGAATGACTTGCCTGCTGATCATTATTTGTCAACCTTTGTGCCAATTGAGCTTTTGGGATAACTTGAAACTATCTTTTAACTATTTAGGAATGTTAGGCTCCTTTTCTTCCCATATGTTTTTACTTCAGCCAAGGGATTTTGTTTTAATTATAAATATTTATGTATTGATCGTTTATTTTTGGGCATTCAAAGTAAACCAAAACACTAAAACCTAATGATGACCATACATGTGTATATTGATCTTCATGTTCAAAAAGAGACCCAAAAACAGACAGCTGAAGTAAGCCAGAGGCTTATCTAATAAACAGATGCTTCACCAATTACTTACACTGATTGTTGATAATGAGTCACCTAAGTCAGATTTAAGATCACACTGAGTTTTACACTCTTTTATTCTTGACCCATTCAGATGCCAATTTATGATTATTATCCTTCATTATCCTGCAGGAATCGAGGTTTTAATGACCCAAAGCAAGCTGTCCAAGGCTGCTTCTAAATGGTGCAAACTGGCAAGGCTTCTAAAGACAAAGTGAAGGGTACGCCATTATGTGGTATTTAAAAAATGCTATTAGTAAAGAAAGTGTTAGGAAGAAGAAGCAGGGTGCTTCTTGTCGGTAGTTCAGTAGAGACCTATGCTAAGGACGTTCCTGTCTACCCCAATTAGGAGCTATAGAGTAACACGCAATCTTTTGCATGACAGGGTATTTAGACACAGTCCAACTCTTAGGTTAAAAAATATATATAATTTCATTTTATGTACCATCCTGTGACACATGCAAGTGTATGCACCTTCATAAATTTGTTTTTTTTTTTATTGGAGACCTGTTTGCTACATTCATGCAACTTTTTGTAGTTCTTTTCCAGAAGACTTTAGTCCCCACTTGACCAGAGTCTTTCATGTGCATGTCCTTCACCTGACGATGTCCATAAGACTGAAGGTTGTCTGGATTCAGCACAACGATCTGGAGCTCCTTTCCTAGTCTGAATAGTGTTCTTACTGTTGAATCAGGTAAATCCTGTTTTACAAGATATACAGTAAATGTTGCAGTGTTAAAATAACGCTCAAGAGTACATTTGGTCCCACTCTGAATTAGTGTTCGACCAAATGTACTCTCAAAGTGTTTCATTAACACTCAAAGTGTTACTTTATCACTGCAACATTTACTGTATACCACTGTTACACATCTGTTTGTAATGCCAATAGTAAGATTTTCTTATCCAAGCTCACACAGTGTGGTATGAATTTTACAAATTCCACAGTGTTGATAAAATAACTTTTGGCCAAACTGACAAATGATCACTTTACCCTGTCACCACGGGGCCTGCTAATGACCCACTCATTCAATTCAGGTGTATTAGAGCAGAAAAGGATCTTGAACAGAAAGGACACAGAAAGTTAAAGACTTAA